GCGACCTGAGATGCTGGTTTGAGGTGTATGGACGCTGTCTCTTATACACATCTAGATGTGTATAAGAGACAGCATCTGGACTGCAAACATCTTCGTTCCTGTTCGCCCTTCTCTTTTTCACCGAATTTTCGTAGGCATCTGTTAAGGACACATTGAGCCAATCCAACAGTCATCTTTCTCACCATGTCATCAATACTGAGAGTGCAAAAAAAAAAGTTGTGCCTCTAACAACCTCCTTTGCTTTTACCGCGGTGCACATACAGGATAGACGAACATTACATCCATCTTCTCATATGTAATCACACAATATCATCAGTCCAAAGTTCTGTAAATTGAACTTTGCTCCTTTTTCAACAGCGTTTGCGCTCGCTCTTTAAGCACCCTCCCGCACTCATTTGCCGCCTCTGTTCTTCATCGACCAAAATCGGTGTTGAGGTATTTTCTACGACTCTACGTTTCTTTCTTGTCGCCACCGGATAACGTACAAAGGCATCTGTGTATCTGGTTCAGTCAACAGCAAATACCTCAACAAGAAAACAAATTGACGTCAGAAAAGGGAGAAAAAAGACTCGTGAGTCGTGACAACCCCTTCATTTCAAAACGGAAAAAACGAAATTAAAAAGAAACAAAAGAACAACCAGGAAAACAATTTCCCCCCCCGCATGACTTTCCATAAGTTCCCAGATGTGAAAAAGACTCGTGAGTCGTGACAACCCCTTAACCGAACATCAGACATCGTCGAGACGTGCGAACCCCAGCCGAGCCCACATGACAGACTTGTCCAGCAACTTCACCCTTTTCAAAAAAAAAAAAAAGAAGAAACGTGCTTGCGATATATATCATCATATCCTCCGGCTACGTCAGCATCGCCAAGCCGACTTGACCCAGGTAATTCAGCCTACTCGAACCGTACTTCATTCATCGAGATATCATCATATCATCAGACTACATGATCATCGCCAAGCTGACCGGCCCCACGTAATTCAGGTATTTGAGGTTTTGAAATTTGAGCCCTATTTCATTCATCTAGATCCATTTTGTGATTCAAATTTCAAACTCAGGTCTGTGTTTCAAAAGCTGAAAGGGTTTACCAAATGGACTCAACCTCACCTTGACTTATCGAAAAAGGATCACCTGGATTCCGAATCCCTGCTGCAATATGCAGATACCTCAGTCCTGCTCTCCCAGCAGTTGCAATCTTATTTGTCTTATCACTGCCATAAAAAAAAAAAAGACGGCACACCGATGAGCGAGTCAGCACCGGCGCTCGGATGGTATGCAATCCCGGCAACGAGCTAGAATTTTGTTTATTTTTCAATAACAAAAGAAGTTAGAAAAACAGGTCCGGTCCTGGGTCCTTTCCATTCTAGGGAGCATCAGTCCAGTTCCTTTTCCGCAGCCAAGTCAAACTTTTAGATTCCTTTCTTCTCCCAAAAAGAAAAGAAAAAAAAGGTCTGGAAAGATACCATGCTGTGAAGAATTGCAAATCTAACTAACTGTCACCCGAAGTTCCCCCCAACCAAATCCCCAACCGAATTCGCAACCAATTCGCAGCCAAATTCCAGTCCCCCCCCCAAAGAAAAAAGTGAAAAAAAATCATGTCCTTTAAACCACCAGTACACCCGGGTCAGGCGGCCTTCCACTGCCGCGCCAAGTTTTTCCGAACTGCACGCGGCGCTGCAATAAACTCAGTTCATGGCCACACCGTCGCGGGCAAGCGTCGTCACTTTCGGTCGAAGGCCCGAAACAGGGCAAGCGTCGTCACTTTCGGTCGAAGACCCGAAACAGGGCTCAAAGGTCACGTGGCGCACGTCCCAAGCCTGAGAAATGTCTAGGCGCACTCCGTTTCTTTTTTGGCTGGAGCCGCCAGCCATTACTTACTGGCTTCTCAGTGAGACCGGGTCCATTACAGGCGCACTCCGTTTCTTTTTTGGCCGGAGCCGCCAGCCATTGTGGTCTGGTAGCCCCGAGCCTCCGAAAGTTTTGTACGTGATGAAAGAGTTCTCCACAAGGCTGGGGCCGTGTACTGGCGGTTTAAGGATATCCATTAAACCGGAACGAGGCAGAGAAGGGGTCCAAATTATTTCAAAAAAAAATGATAGAAAGAAGAAAGAAATTCAAAGAATTTTCCTTTTTGGCCCATCCCAACTCCTGGTGCTTGGATATGGGGGTCAGGATGCTCTCCACGTGACCTGAGGAAGGGGACTAAGTTCGACTAACAGATCAGATGGTCAGTCCAGTGTCCCGATCTGTCATAACTGCTGCTCAAAGGTGGTTTTCAAACCAAGATTTGTTCATATGAAAATATTCACATACACCGGCCTGTTCCGTTGCCTTTGACTTGTACAACTGTTAGTACCTTGGCATGTACCTGGTCCACGCCGTCGAACCAGTCCATGATAAAGAACAGGTCCAAGCCAAAGGACCTGTGTCCCTCTCTGGCATCGGAGAGGGGTTTGTTGTACTGAGTGCTATCCTGTCCTTAACATGAAAGGAACAGGTCCACGACAAGGACAGGATTGCAAAGTGAGCGTTTGGCGATGATGCTTCCCGGTTCCAGCAAAATAGAAAGTGAGGGACCCATACGCAAAAATGTTTGGACCAAGGGGTTTGCCTGCAAAGTAAGTCAGTAATACTACTGTGCTGGAAGGTCAGTGACTTGTGCCCTGGGGCTCATCACTGGTCCTCTTTAGAGAAATCATTCTCACATCTTACATTTTCAAGGTCAGCGGCTCGAGCCACCTTCTGGGACAATGTTTCAAAACTTGGAATTTTGAATTTTCCAAGCAGAGTGTTTCAAAACTTGGAAATTTGAAATTTCAACCAAATGCTGCGAAAGTTGAAAATTCAGAACAGAATATTTATTATTTACCTTGCCAATTCTTGAAGCTCAGTTGTTGTCATGTATTTCACTGGCTTTTTCTGAAGAGATTTGTCTTCCTTTGTAAAAGCTGATGCCCCAACCACACTCTGTGCACGTTTCTTCGGCTCTTGAAACAAAAATCCAGTCCCAAGATTGCTGCATAGTTGCCACAGGTAGAACACAGAACGAAACAGTCACGTAATTCACTCCCGTTGAAAAAAAAAAAATGAAAATATTCAAAATAAACAAATCCATCTCATCACACATTCTCAGTCAGGACCATCATTCATGTGGCCAGATGCACACAGGAGATGCATGCACAAATCTCTCTCTCTCTCTCTCTCTCTCTCTCTCTCTCTCTCTCTCTCTCTCTCTCTCTCTCTCTCTCGCCCTCTCGCACCCTCATTGACTCCTCCGTCTCTCTCTCTCTCTCTCTCTCTCTCTCTCTCTCTCTCTCTATCTCTCTCTCTCTCTCTCTCCACCCCTTTCTCTCCCTCTCCCTCTCCCTCTCCCCCTCTCTCTCTCTCTCTCTCTCTCACACACACACACACACACACACATATGGTGTAATGCCATTGAGACGAACCTGACTAAGTACACAAAATTTCAATAGCAAGCTGAGGGTTACAAAACTTGTATAGACTGGTGACAGAGACAGACTGACCACGCAAATTCAGACATTTGTCATTTACTTATTTTAATTTACCATTTATTTATTTATTTATTCTTTTTTTTCAAATCTTTTGTCTACAGATTGGTGACAGTGAAAGGAGAGGGAGATCAGCAACAAGGAGGGAGGTTCACAACAAGGAGGAGGGAGGTTCGGAACAAAGCGGAGGGTGGTTCGAAAGAAGGCGTAGGGGGAATACGATTGGAGTTTGTGAACTTCGATCGCCTCACCCTTGTTCCGAGCCTCCCTCTCCCCCCTCTCCCTTCTTCCGAATCTCCCCCCCGGACCCCCCCCCCGTTCAGGGCCTCCTTTCATTTCGCTGCTTTGTTGTTGAACTTTTCATTCTGTTATGAACACAGAATCGTGGATCATTTTGATTCGTTCTCAAACTTTTTAATAGTTTTTATGCTATTGCGAAGTTCTAATACGTTTCATTGGTGGGGGTGAGGGAGGTTAGGAAAAAGGGGTAGGAACAAGGGGTCAGAAAAAGGGGTAAGAACAAGGGGTAGGAACAAGGGGTCGGAATAGGGGGAGGGAGGCTCGGAAAAAGGAGGGAGGTTCGGAACAAGGGGGAGGGAGGTCCCCAACAAGGGGGAGGGAAGTTCAGAACAGGGGGAGTTCTTTTTTTTTTTTTTTTTTTTTTTTTTGTCTCCTTTCAATCCGGCGCGACCTGGACACAGCCATCCAGACCATCCGGAGACCAATCTGGACCCTGTCCGAACCGTTGGTTCGGACAGGACTGGAAATGCGGACATCCAGATCACATCGGGACTGACCGGTTGCCGTATCGTATCTCAAGTCTTTCTGCTGTGTTCTGGGTCCGGATGGGTCCAGTGACCGGGTCCGCATAAGCCATGGAACATACCCACCAGTCAGCTCCATTCTATCTGTTCTCAGCTTGTTGTACTCAGCCTGAAAACACATGCACAATTCCATTCACACAATTTCACACCAAATACCACCCACTGTTAGCACTTGAATACCCTTGCTCAGTCCGATTGCTATACAACTCACATACTGTGAGACTTGTCTCTGAAAAGGTGAGACGAACAAAGAGAGAGTTCTTTTGATGCATCATAAGCTCGCACCACCTACAGAATATTCACAGTTGCACAGTTAGAGCAGGAAGAGAAACATACTCTCACACCGCATCTGGAGTCTTAGCAATTGCATAGGCATGGGGCGCGAATGCCGCCCCCCCATGCACCCATCACCCACTCACAGATGGCATGCCCCGAGACCAATTCCTCACCGACACACCACCACGGCAAGAGTCCTCAGCCCATTTCCATCAAACATTAGCTGCCCTGGCTGGAAAGTAGACACAGAAAACTCAGCAAGCCAATTCACAACTGAACAGCAAAGGCAATGAGAAGAATGGCAGAGAGACAACTTCATCTAAAATCATGCATGGGTTTTTCAACTTTTTCTAGTCTCAATCAACCACTTTTCCATTGCATTCCTTCACTTGTCCACCAATAACATGTCTCTGGACTCTGGAGCTCTCAAACTGGGACCACTTCCAAGACTTCTGTTCCTTTTGCTAGAACGTGTCTCATGCTCAACAGGCTCCACCATATCTCTTCTCCTCGGATTCCTGTTCCATTGAAAAGTCTTGTCAAAATATCTTGTAATTCACACCTCGTATACTTTCTCTTTTGATCAGATCTCTCTCTCTCTCTCTCTCTCTCTCTCTCTCTCTCTCTCTCTCTCTC